GTATAACTCATGTTATTTCTCTCATTATTATTATTTTCCCTTGGGTTCATAGTGGAACATATGGTTTCAGTAGCACGCCTCCATTGCATTTTTTTCGCTGCAGTCTCTTGAACCTCGCTACACGACTGCCCATAAGCTTTCATTTCTTCCTTACATCATCTCCTCCATGTCACCCACAGCTGGGACGCCCAACTAGTCGTTTACTCTTCGGATTCCACTTAACGGCCTGAACTGGCGGGTGATGTCTCCAATCAGCCTTCTCAGTGTATGCCCAATCCAATCCAATCCATCTCCACTTCCTTCCACTGCATATTTGTTAGGTTTTTGGTTGGTTCGTTGCCACGCCAGAGCTCCTTGTTTCTTATTCTCATAGTTCTGGCCATCTGATCTCATCTTCAGTATGGAGTGAGCGTAGGTGATAGCTGTTGATAAATATCTGTAGTTTGTTGGAAATCCCTTTCGTAACACGCCAAGACTCTCAACCATCACATAGAAGCACTGACTTGAGTGGTATTAGTGTTGAAAATCTGGATGTTGTTCACGCTTTATGCTGAGTGCAGGAGATCTCCACACTGATTTCAGATTAATGAAGGAAGGCCTGTTTTGATGTCTTTCAGATCCTGATTTTGACACCCTCGTCTGGGCTGCCTTAGTTGAAACTATTTCTCTCACTGGTAGATGAAAATTATCTAGTTAAACGAAACACTTCATAGTTACATTTTCTGGATTCTACACATTTGATAGAACGTAGGAATTTTTAGTGATTCTTACTTCTGATATGGAATTTCCTTGGTTGAATTAAGCTAATTTACCTGTTTAAAAGACTGACTGTGTAGTAATAACGCTTGATGCTACTATGCCCTAAACAAGTTGAATCGAAAACTGATAAGTTAATCTCATCTTAGAGCTGAAAGACTGTCCAGGCGTTCCGGAAATCAAGCTTAATATAATTTGCAAGATAATTGAAACCAATAGTTATATTCTCGTCGGAAGGGTGTAACTACCCACTGGTCATTGATGTGCGACTGGTTTCATGTTGTCTAGTTGTGAGTACTATCGAAACTAGTCATCGTGGTACACCTTGATTAGTGTTGGTTAGTTGAAAGCAATAGACAGGAAGACTTTTCTGACCAAGGTTTCATGCTTGTTGCCCCTTTCCAGCAAGACGTATCTGTAATCTTAAGGGGACTGATGTTCCCTGAGAGGTTCCAAACATTGCATCAAGCAGTACTGTAGTTAGAGAAGTTATCACTTCCTCGATGGCTCAAGGATAATATCTCCGACCTCAGCACTGGGTAACACAAGTTTGAAACTCTCAGGATATCACATACGCTTTGGTAACAACCACTAGAAGTCACGTAGCCTAGGTCGAGCAGAGATTCCCACCAATCGCCTTCAACCAACTATCTACTTGTATCCATTGAGTTGACAGAGAGTACTGATAAGTCCAACAATAAGATGGTATTCATCACCGACTGACATCAGTTGGAGAATCATTCAAAACTTGCGAGCACTGAACAGGTGTTTCGTCTCAGAATGGGACCCTTCAGCAGTACACACACGACCTGGCTAGGGATTGAACTCAGGACATTCTGGTTTCAAACCATCCAGTCCATGGTTGGTCAGGATGCCTTCAAACGTAAGAGTAAACTAAAAACTCTTTCTGCTTTTGGAAAGTACGGTCAACCAATAAGGGTTTAAAGGTGTAAATGGTTAGGTGAACAACATTTTATTGTTATAAAAACTACATAGTGAAAGCCCCCGATGAAAGCTATGCAAACTTAATGTAAATAGTTAAAAAATATGATACTTCAAGGCCAGAAATGATCAAACGTTCTCATGAATAATCACTTTAAGTGTTTCCAGAAGTTTGGGCATCTTCAAAGGGTTGGGTCTAACACCTTAGTTGGTAACTCGGAGGTCGTCAGTTTGAATTCTGCTACAATTACGGTCCTCATTTGATCTTCATCAATCACCTAGTGCCTTTAATACTAATTTTCTAAACCATAGCCATCATTTCTCATCTCTAATTTAGATCGGTTGTGCCTCAGGCAAGAAGGGCAGACTGGGTATTAGTTTGATTATGATAGATGACCAGGTAATCATAATAAATTTACTTGTCAATCAGGCGAAACACTTGGCTGCCTGGTGACTTGGAAGACGTTAGTCAGACCAGTTCGTCAACTAAAGTTTTCAACTCATCTTCAGTCATCACTCAGTATCAATAAAACTAATCTACTAAGCCGCACCGATTGTAGATAATCTGAAGAATATGTATGAAGCATCTACTTATGCCCAACTTAATCGGTTGATAGTTTCCTGTAAAAACAAGTAACGTTTTTACCTCCATCTGGAACCAAAGAGACAATAGTCAAACGACAGCTTGTTTATCTCATTGTTAGACCTTCAGTAAGCTTACACGGCCGAACATAAGATTTAATGTAGAAACTTTAAAATCAGCACAGAGATTCAGGTTAATATAATCATATACTCAGTTGTTAGCAGATTTCGAAGTGATGCTGAAGAATTTCAGAACAGAACCAACTGGTGGTTCACTTATTTTTATCCCTATTTCTCTCTGTTATATATTTTTATTGAAAACACAGCTTCATTTTGATTTGAAGATTTATCAAGATGTATTGATTTCAATGTGTGCACTTATTACAGACGGATGTCAGCTGGAGGACCATTGAAAATTTGGGAACATTGGACAGGTGTTTCATCCTTGAATGGGACTTCTCAGAAGTGTACACTATTGACTTCAAAAGGGCTGGAAAAAAGGATTTTCAAGTTTCACGGCGAATATTTATCTCTTATTTAGAGAGTGTGAACTGAGTTAGTCTTTACCTCTTCCTCTTTACTTGGTATAAATAACAGAAACTACCCAAAAAAAGATAATCTAATTGAAAACAAAACAGTTTTCATTTGAACTTTCTGAAAATCATTCTTGATAGCCGGAAATTTTACTGAATAAGAAAAAGAAGTTAACTTCTTCAGTTGTTCTTATTCGCTAACATAGTCCCCATAGACATCTTAACAAGTTATCACCCTAGTTTAGACACAAACCTCAGTCCGACAATTTGGTCTAAAACTGAGGAACTTTTTAGTTGGTTGAAAGAAAATGTTTGTATTCTTTTATTTGGGTTCAACTCAGCCTTCATATGCTGTGACAACTTTCAGTAACTACTTCTTGTTTTGAACTTTTGTATTTTTGGGGCCGGATGGTCGAAAGGAAACGACAAGTGAACCAACACCGCCCGTCCGGCAGACCGTGGGGAGTGGTGGAGTGTGTTATTTTTGAAGCCGACCTTTTCTAACCCCCCCCTCTTCCACTGAGAAGGCAGCATCAGCATGACACTGCTGGTCATCCAAGAGAAACACTTTACTGCTGTCACACACCATCCAGCTAGCAGCAGTACGACTTCGCCCTCAAACCCCCATCATAGTGTACCAATTTACACTACAACGGTAACTGATTTTCGTCTAACCACTATCCAACAGACCTTTCTGGTATGTTAGGACCTCGAGGGAACAAGTGTTCCACCAGCATAGCTCATTGGGTCATTTTGATATGCAAGCCCGACCACCACGTCAAGGTAGCAGCTATCTGTCGGTCAGCGGTAGCGCAGCTAACAATAGAGAGTGAAGTGGTTGAGTGTGTTGACCACTTCACTTACCTGGGAAGTAGGATAAACCCTAGTGGGTTAGTTGCCGATGAGATTCCTGCATGGATACAAAAGGCTCGATTGGTTTTTGCCAATTTGCGCCACCTATGGAGCCGCCGTGATATTCGTTTGTTTATTAAGGGTCGCGTGTACTGCACAGCAGTCCAGTCTGTTCTACTGTATGGCTGTGAAACATAGCCATTGAAAGTGGAGGATACAAAAAGGCTTCAGGTGTTTGACCACCGTTGCCTTAGTAGTATAGGACGTATTCCGTGGTGTCACCATGTGAGTAATGCAGAAGTTAGGTGTAGAGTTTTAGGGAGAAGAGGTAAGTCAGTCGACGAGGTTGTGAACCTTCATCGACTGAGATGGTTGGGACACGTACTACGTATGCCTAGTCACCGATTGCCTCGTCACACAATGTTGGCTGAGGAGGGTCCAGACTGAAAAAAGGCTCGAGGTGGCCAGACTAAAACATGGCACCAATGTATGAAGTCTCTGACTGTTGGTTTGAGCCATGTGGGGCGGTGCAGACTAGGTGGTTGGGGTCCACGGGACAAGAGGAACCAGTGGTTGGAGACCCTAGGTGATATGGCTGAGAACCGATGTCAGTGGCGCAGATGTATCCCCACACAGATTATCCTCATCTTAACAAGGCTATACCGAATCTCACCATTTTGTCACTCCTCTTTCCTTTCTTCTCGTACTTTATATTTCTTTTGACTGCATTCACTTATCTTCATCCTTCACCTCACTACCTTTTTACTCGATGTGCTGATATGAGGTGTGGCAAGTTGGACCGTTACGCAGTAATGTCTGGTCCTATGTTGATAATGATGATGAACTACTTCTTAGTTGAATATACTTTGAAGAACAGGAATCAGTCACCAGTATTTAATCCATGATGCTATACAATACCCACCGCTGATAGAATTCTGCCGATGAAGTTTGTAATGCAACCAATAAGTTAAGTAATGTAACACCATAATGGATTATATTTTGATGTTAAGTATTGGGAGTCAATAGACAGACAGTCTTGGACCTAGAGTATACTGGGCTGTACAATTAGGAATACATAAGTACATCGGTTAACCGTTCGCGATGAACTTCCTAAACTTAATCCACTCCTACAGTAGACCAGTCGTGATTGCAATAGGTTTTTTTTGTCAACTCTTCACGTCTAACATTAAACTACTATGGAGGATGCATCAATAGTAATGGTCATAATTTTGCTAGGAAGCATCTAGATTAAAATCCTAGCCAAGGGGATGCTCAGTTAACGATACAATAAATAATTATCTAGCAATTGTCATTTAAACAAACACATACACACACCTTTGAAATCTGTTTTCGTTCCATTGTAGACCACGTGCTGTTGGTGAGCCTGGCCTCTGTCCATACAATGGACCAAATCTAGCCTTCGATTGACATATGTAAACAGCTAAATAGGTGGCTAGTAAACATTTTGGTCCTGTACAATGTAGAACAGCTACACGATTATTGACTATAGTAGATTCTTTCATATGTTTCCTGTCATTTGTTGATGTTATATCATGATTATGAAGCCAAAAGTCAAGTTGATCGATAGCTGTAACTAATTGTTCCAAAGCAGGTGCAAGTGATCCACCCCAAAAGAGATCAATAACAGGAGTCTGAAATTGAAAAATTATATCAAATTTATCTGCAAAGCATACTACAGTAAAATCACAGTCAAGAGAACTCATCTAGGAAGACAACTCACTTACTGAATCATTAGTTTTACATATAGGAAGCATAAATCATGTGTGGACCAAATTGCAACGCTTCGCATCATCATAGAACAGAGCATAGAATGCCAGTTAACTCAACTCAACCTCAATTTCATCCACTTTGAAGAGGCCTTTGACAGCGTCGACCGATAAGTAATTTGGTAGTTGCTTCATAACTTTGGAATGCCACAAACCCTTATCAACCTCATTCAACAACTACATGAAGACGCCACATGTGAAGTAATTCACAATGGGAAGCTCAGTGATGCTTTCTAAGTGAAGTGAAGACAGGAGTAAAACAAGGCTGCTGTCTACTATCACCCATGATCTTCCTAATTGTAGTCGACTGGACTGGATTCTGCAGCGGGCAGCAGTGAGGAGCGAGAAGAGGGGGATACGCTGGCTGAACCGATGAAAAGATCCTAGAAGATTTGGATTTCGCCGATGGTGATTTATGTCTGATGTCTTTCCGTACAACTTTGAAGATGTACGGACAAGAACTTACAAGATGACAGAAGAGGCAGGGCAGGGCAGCGAAGACGGGACACCATTCAAGTGAATATAGAGAAGACACAGGTGATAAAGATACCCAACCAACAACACAAACAACAACAAACTCCAATCACCATGAAACTAAAAGGAAGAAGCCTCTTTCACCTCTCTAGGCAGCACTGTCTCAACTACAGGCGGCAGTGGCACAGACGAGGATGTCAAAGTCAGAATCGGAAAAGCATGACAGACGTTCATTAACCCGAAACCAGTGTGGAGATCTACTGCACTACACTGCACTGCACTCAGCATAACGCGTGAACAACATCCCGATTTTCAACACTAATACCACTCAAGTTAGTGCTTCTATGTGGTGGTTGAGAGTCTTGGCATGTTACGAAAGGGATTCCCAACAAACTACAGATATTCATCAACAACTGCCCCCTACACTGGCTCCTTACTGAAGATGAGATCAGATGGCCAGAAAGAATGAGCATCTAGGAACTCTGGCCTGTCAACCAACCAACTAAGCAAGAAGCTATCGCTGAATAAATATGCAGTGGAAGGAAGTGGAGATGGATTGGGTATGCACTGACAAGGTCGACTGAGGACATCACACGTCAGGCCAGTCACTTGAGTGGAATCCTGATGGGCAACGATGAGTTAGGTGTCCGAGATGAGGGTGACATTTAGGAGATGGTGTGAGGAAGAAATGAGAGCTTGTAGGGAGTTGTGGAGCCAGGTTCAAAAGGTTTCAGAGAACAGATTGCATTGCAGACGTGCTACTGAAGCTGTATGTTCCATTAGGAACTCAACGGATAAATAATAATTGGGATAATACATCAACCTGCATCTGAACTGATATCTGACACAACCAGATCCTTTTCAATTCTGTTCTATGTGGATGTGAAGATTCCTTTGTATAATCATTAGAATTTTGATTAACTATACATCTTTAGTATTTTATTAGGTGGTAACTTTCTTGAAATAATGTTTGCTGACAGGTTATCATTCTACTCAGTATTGTAACCAAAGTAAAAATTATTCACAAAACTAAAAGTTTTACCATCTCAAGGTCATCATGCTTTTTGAACGCTTGGATTATTTATCCGAACTACAATTGAATTTTTCGTCATTTAACTAGTTATATAAACTGACTAGTTTTGATTATGTAACTGCTCAGTCTATGAGATAACAGTTAACATACATTCATGTAGTAAAACAGTATTATTTACTGGATCACATTTCGGGTACAATTTACTGGCCATAGTCACATCAAGATGACTTTAGCAGCTTTAAGAAATGGTTCATATCGTTCTAATCTTCTTATCTTCCTTGTGACAAAAGTGTTATAGTTTAATGGTACTGCTTGTATTACACCGTCGTTGATTAGACCTAATTGATCAGTCCCTGTTGCCATATAGGCTCCTATGCAGATAGCCTCGAAATTACCTGTCTTTTAACTGTGTGTAGTAATGATGGACAGTGGCCAGCAGTGGAATCAAGGATGCATATTTCATCCCGTTTAAGACTCATTGGTCAGCTGCATGTACCTGCCTCCCAGTGAGTGATATTGTTCCCACCGGAATTCTGACTCGGGAGCGATCGCTTCAAACACCAGAACGTTATCCACAACACCGTCGAACCACGATAACCACTTCTTATGTGATGGGTATAGTTTTTAGTATATGTAATTGTTTTTATATCATACCGTCGCTGACTGGAGAGAATTGATCAGTCTCTGTTGGTATATGGGATTCTGTCCAATCAGCGACGGTATGATATAAAAACAATTACATATACTAAAAATTATACCCGTCACACAAGAAGTGGTTATCGTGGTCCAACGGTGTTGTGGATAACGTTCTGGTGTTTGAAGCGATCTCTCCCGAGTCGGAATTCCGGCGGGAACAACATCACTCACTGGGAGGCAGGTACATGCAGCTGACCAGTGAGTCTCAAATGGGATGAAATATGCATCCTTGATTCCACTGCTAGCCACTGCCCATCATTACTATGCAGTGTTATGGTTTGCTATATGTATAGAAAACCGGTAGTGAGTCATTCCTGTTGCATATATTTGGTGTTGATTTGAAGAACAAAAATGCTTTTTATCAATCTCTACCTCCGTTATACTAAGTTAGTCTTTAGGACTGTCATTATGTCCCATCCTACCATGTAGTTGTGCGTAACTGGTAGATTCAGTAAATTTGACAAATGAGTTGAAACGGAGTCTACGAAACTGAGTCCGTGTCTTGAACACTGTACATTTAGTCTTATGACTCATTTGGCAGAACACCGATCCGGTAACCTACAGGCCGACGGTTAGAATCCTGCCAGAGCCCCAATTTTCATCTCACTGTAATTTAGTAGAGAAAAACAGTAGGACAACCGAAAGTGTCTTACATATCATAGTAATAATGATGTTAATAGTGGATATTGGCTAGCAGTGAAATCCAGCACATGCGTCTCGTCCTATTCAGGACTCATCAGTTTGATGATGGCCACTCCTTGTGCGATGGATTCAGTAAAGTTTGGATAAAATAACTATAATTTCTAAACTTAAGTTATTTAGTTTCTGGTTGTCCAGTTTACGTAAAATCGTTGCAAATGAAAAGGGAAGAATCCTTAGACCCGATTATTAACACTGAAAATTATCACATCTTACTCTGCTTGAAAAGTGTAATTCTTTTGTGAAACCTGACAGATTGAAGATCTATGAAAAAAGAAAACATATGCAAAGGTTTCAATCTAAAAATGAGAATGTTGCAATTATATTCAAATATCACAAAAGACATCGAGTAAAATAATTGTAATGATGGATAGTGGCTAGCAGTGGAATCCAAGATGCGCATTTCGTCCTATTTGGGACTCTTCAGCTGAATGTACCTGCTTCCCGGTGAGTGATGTTGTTTCCATTGGGATCCGGCTAACGAGTCCCAAATTCGCCGAAATGTGCATCCTGGATTCCACTGCTAACCATTATCCATCATTACTGTCATAAGAGCACAGGTAATATCGAGGCATCCGCACGGGAGCCCATATGCCAATAGAGACTGATCAATTCTCTCCAGTCAGCGACGGTATGATATAAAAACAATTATATATACTAAAAACTATACCCGTCACATAAGAAGTGGTTATGTGGTTCGACGGTGTTGTGGATAACGCTATGGCGTTTGAAGTGATCGCTCCCGAGTCAGAATTCCGGTGGGAACAACATCACTCACTGGGAGGCAGGTACATGCAGCTGACCAGTGAGTCTCAAATGGGATGAAATATGCATCCTGGATTCCACTGCTAGCCACTGTCCATCATTACTATACACAGTTAAAAGACAGGTAATTTCGAGGCGATCCGCATGGGAGCCTATATGCCAACAGGGACTGATCAATTAGGTCCAATCAACGACGGTATGATATAAAAAAACAATTATATACGCTAATGAATAGAATAATAGTTTTTTTAAAACAATATTTCAGTCTGATATTGATGACAAATCAGTATCAGTTAGAGAACCATTAAAAACGTGGCATTACTCAAAAGCTGCTTCGTTCTTGTATGGGACTCCTCGGAAATGAGTAGCCAAGATCTTGGTATGGATTGAACTCAGGGTCTCAAGGCTTCAAGCCGAACGTGTTTCCGTGGACTATATCAGCCTAGTTCTGAGAATTTTGCGATATATCATGGCTATCACCGAATAGCATAAATGAACATTTGTCCTCAGATCCTTCTCTTCTTTAGCGGAATTTCGTTGAAGGATAGGAGTTAATAAAACCAACGATTTCTTAAGTTGGTATTCATTATGGGCTGACATGAGTTAGAGGAACATTAGATCCCTGGCGTGAACAGTCATGGATGTACACTGGTGGAGATTCCCATACTGATATGAAACAGCTTTCCAGTGCTCCCAGATTTCCAATGTTCATCCAACTAATGTCAGACCATAATGAATACCAGCTTGGAAAATCACTAAACCTGCACATACCTCCATATTTATTCACTTTTGTACCCAATAATAAACATATTTCCACAAGTTCTAATGAATTTTAATGACCTATGGCATCATGTAGGTATTGAAAGAAGACAGTTACGTACTGATTACATTTGGAGGATGGTGGCACATTATCGGAAACTGAAAGAAATAGGAGAATATAGACAATAGGATTCCGACCTAATGGGTGGACAGTAACGTGCTCACTACAATAGGTAATGGTCTTTGACCTGACCTTTGGCATGGTTGTCAATTTGCATCCCTCAGGATGCCCAAACTAGGTCGAGACAGTCGTATTATCCACTTGCAAAAGTTAGTATATTGTATCATCTCTACATATGTTTTGAAATTCGATAAAATTTTCATATCCTATAGGAATGATATTGTATACCGAATAGAGATCTTTGCATTGTCAAGTTTTTTATTTACTTTCTAGCATGTTTGATTTGCAAGGGGAATTAAAGTCACTGGTTTAATTCTCTTTATGCTAAACTTCTTTGTTAATGCCGTGAAATTGACATAATCACCAGGATAAAAAAAAGGTTGTCCTTAAGACTTCATGACTGAAATTGAGATGTGTAAAATGTATGACGCTGAAGACAACGATTCTGAATACGAGACAAGTTGTAATTCAGCATCGACTAGACAATCGCTGGAAAACTTCGAAACAGTAAACAGATGTTTTGCCCTAATTTAGAACTTCTCAGTAATCCAGAACCACAAATTTATGAGGGACAGAAACAAAGAAAGTTATGTCATATGATAGTTACTGACGACAGACGATGGTGGTGTTATGCTGTGAATTGGAAAAGGAAATATTAGACATCAATTCCAGCTTCATATTAGCACACTTGGTTGAAATGAACCATAAGATCGATATATATGAGTCATTTTCCATCCTGTACTGAATTACTTTCAACTCTTCAAAAGCTATCTAGCTCCCATTTCTTCAGACTGCAGAAGCAGTAACAATCAGCATCAAACAACCTGAGTTATTTGTTCAAAACAAAGGCAGATATTGTCGCTGCAACTATAGCTGTCCGATTTAGGACTCACTTTATCCAACTCTAATGAACATCTAATTGTTTTATCAAACTATCACCTTATAGCATTACTTACACCGTACAGTCGTCTAGATAATCACATATTTTGAATAGAATTCCAGTAGTAACTGATTCTATCAGTAATTTTCAAACAGGAAAGGCACCTTTGAATTGACTCTTTCAACCTTATAACATTACTAACAAACTGATAAGTAAAATCTCAATATTGCTGATGTATAATTCCTCAGTATTTACATATAACTGTGAGACGTGACGAAGAAAAGGATATTGAAAAGGATATTCTATAACAACTCAAGTTGCATTTGAAGTATAGTGAGAATTTATAGTAATTCACTCAAGTACCAAGTAATCTTCCAGCTATGCAGGGAATTTACTCAACTATCTACACTGTCCAAAAGATGCAAATAGTTTTAAAAGAACGGTATGTAAAAAATATCCCTCAGTTGTCACAATACTTTGTTCACAATGTTGATTTGAAGAACCCTTAAAGACTACAGAAGCACAGGATAAATTCTTTGTCTTATTTATCTCCTGATGTGTAATGCAATCCCGTGATACTGTGAAGGATCGAACACATAACCATCAAGTATCTTGGCTAGCATGTTACCTTTCAGCTACTGAGTTCAATCCTATTTTCATGGATCAAAAGACACTAGGTGGCCAGACTAAAACATGGCACCAATGCATGAAGTCTCTGACTGTTGGTCTGAGCCATATAGGACGATGCAGACTAGGTAGTTGGGGTCCACGGGATAAGAGGAACCAGTGGTTGGAGACTCTAGGTGATATGGCTCAGAACCGAAGTCAGTGGCGCAGATGTATCCCCACACATATTATCCTCATCTTAACAAGGCTATACCGAATCTCACCATTTTGTCACTCCTCTTCCTTTCTTCTCGAATTTTATATTTCTTTTGACTGCATTCACTTATCTTCATCCTTCATTTCACTATCTTTTTACTTGATGTGCTGATATGAGGTGTGGCAAGTTGGACCGTTACGCAGTAATGTCTGGTCCTATGTTGATTTTGATTGATTGATTTCCATGGATCACCAATTTAGTGCAACTACCAACTGATACAATCAGAGGGTATTAGGCACCAGACTCAACTTGGTCCACCCCAAAGGTTATGGCTTTCATTTCAAATTTAGGAAATTTATCTTCAAACACTTCACTAATCAGCAGTGGAAACAATTTAATTTGATCCTTTATGGGAATTGGCTGGTTTCAAAATAGTTTCTTTATCAACGACTGACATTAATTAGTTTGGGAACGACTAGAAACCTTGAGGCATTGAACATATTTTTCATCTCTACTCAAGAGAGCACTGTTGGGCAGTTGCAAACTAGCCTTTTATAAAAAAAACGTCTATGAAAGCAATCAATCCCTTTAAATCACCAATTAAATTTCGTTAAAGTGCTATTTTCCTACTTATGGCCGATTGCAGTAGTATGTAACATTATGAGACATAAGCAGAGGATAACTGTTGCTATTGAAATGCCCTTACTTTTAAACTTATTTTCAATCTAGTCAGCTATCACTCCCTACCATTTCGCTACTTTGTGCTTGGAAATTAGTCAATTCATAGGAAATATCTCAAATAGTCGTAATTTCTAGGCAGTAAATTTAACTCTATGGTGTTTGAATTGATGTCTGATTTTTTATATCAATGACCTTTCAGAACTTCTCACCCTAAAGTGTAACTTCAACTTTACTTCAGGTGATTTGTAGAACTTATATAAACATAAAAAGAATTCTATGCTCCAAATTTTCTGATTTTGTGTAAATATTCCATTATTATCAGTTCAACTATCTGAGATTGCCTTGGTTTAGCAAATTTACAATGTTGATACTCGGTAATGATTGAAGGTGAAAGTAATAGCTGGGCCGCAGCAGGGTTCCAACCGAATTGAGCAGTCTTGTCTGGACAGTTAGTGTGAACACGATCAAGAGGTAGTAACACATCAACAACTCTCTTGGCATTCAGGTAGGAAACTTGGTGATTGAAATGAAATAAAAATCTGGTTAGTAAGCGCGTTTCGTAGCTCAGTTGGTAGAGCAGCAGAACCGTTACCCGGAGGTCACACATTCAAATCTTACTATAACCCTTCAATCTTTAACCGGTGTCAATCCAATAATAATCAAAACAGTAAAATTTTAATTGGCATACCCTGTAGTTGTCACCATAGCGTTTTTCAAATGCTTTACACAGCCATCGAGCGCCTTCATTATGATCACTTTTAGTTGCGTCTGGAGGATAACTGACCACTGAAATAGAAACAATTTTAGTACGAAGTAAATTGAAGTGATCAACTGACTCCCATAAAAAAGTTATAAAATAGAGGCTATACGTGATTCCCTGTTTGTTTGATGTAGAACACAATGATACACTTTTACCTACTTGATGACGTTTGAAGTACATTATCTATTTCTCATATTCATATCACGGTAATCATATGACTCTCAGACTTCCTTTGTATAGTGCAACGGTGCAACAGTGTGATGATACATCCTTCCTCCCATATATGTCTTAAGTGTCGGTTCAATGAACAAGAATTCTGTGATCAATCTCTTCCTTCACCGAGTACTATATTGGATTTTAGAATCGTCACTCTACCCCATATTATGATTTGATTAAGCGTCAGTGAATGCAGAGCAACTGCCAAATTTTATGTAAATTACTTTTTTAAGTAGGACCTACCGTTGTATGTTGCGCTAAATGTTTGTGCTACGCTATTCTGATTGAACCCAATTGGCTGTGTTGACCCATACATTTGACCCTACATTCATTATTACATGGTATTTGATAGATTAGGTTATCCTTAGTTATCGACTCTACTAGATCCTTCAGCTTATACCGTTTATCTTTAAGTCAGTTTGTGGTTTTGAATATCTCCGTAAACGCAGCGTCAAACTCCTAGTCTAATTACTTGGACATTTTATTAGGCCTAACATGAAAGACATAGGATGAGATGATGCTAACTTTAAGTATCTGTTCGAATGTTTTGGCTCTCTATAAACACTGGTATCTAAGCTTCCATCTTCTCTCCCCTTAATTTTGCAATCCAGCATAGGCAATTCTTCTTCTCTTCCCTCATTTTCTAATTTGTGCTTGAGTCGGATTGCATCTATTATCGAGTTAATGTGTAAGCGAAAAACTGTGTATGTATTCCGATTTTAGCAAAGTAAATGTATCATCTACATGTCCCCCCTATACTTTCGGAGTGGGTCAAAGTCTTCTTAATGCTATTTGCTCTCAACTGTCCATATATATATCTCTGCTACGATAGGGGATATTAGAGATCCCATCTCTACTCCTTCAGTTTGTTTATATACTTCGACTTGAAATTTGAGAACCATGAGAGTTAGACAAACATATTTCCAGAATAATTTCTTGAATCGGAACTTTAATTCTGTTACTAGGTTCATATCTGACTGCCTCAAGTCCCATAATAATTAATGTATTTGTACAGTGGCTCGTCACATCAAAACTAACCATCTTTTCTCCTTCCCCTAATTGTATATTGTTTAGTCCCTGTTTCAATTCAAATGAACTGATGAGCGTAGATTTTGAGCGATTTTTAATAGGACGTCCTATGAACGTAAATATTCAGATAATTTATGTGTTGTTAGTGTGTTTCTCAAGTCAACTATTGACTTAATAGGATAACCCGTTTAGTAAACCTTGATGGTACCATACATTCCACTGGGATTATTACTTTCAGGCATTAAAATAAACCTTGTTCGGTTTTTGTTGACATATGGTCTACTGTATGAATGCCTCGATATTACCTATGCTTGACTTATATATCATTGATGGATAGTGGCTAGGACATGCGTTTCGTCCTATTTGGGACTCGTCAGCCGGATGCCAGCAGAGATCGGTCAATTTTGTCCACTTAACGACTGGATAATACAAGCAACAGCATTAAAACTATACCCGTTGCACAAAAAGTGGCTTTCATGACGCGATAGTCTAGTGGGTAGCGCTTTGGAGTTTGAAGCGGTGGGTTTCGAGTTCGAGTCCTGAGGGGAACAACATAGCATACTCAGAGGCAGATACATCCAACCGATGAGTCCGGAGTAGGACGAGACGCGTGTCTTGGATTCCACTGCTACCCACCATCCATCCTTACTATATAATTAGATTAAACCACTGAGGCTGATTTACGGATGGCTTCATTCGGTACATTAGATAATCTGTGGACATTTTAATCTTATTCATAACTACGTCTATGGGTTTTTTATTTTCCTCATACGGTCTTGCTTCATCGATTTGATTGGGTAATCCATCTTATCCATAACTACTATCGGACTGCCTTTACTACATCTGACAACTACTAGTACTATTGTCATTTTTTTTCGATTTCCTGATGTTTACCTTTCTGGAACTGTGTTTTGTCACAGTGGTCAAACAAGGAGAAATCTCTACAACTAGGTTTTGTGATCATCAGCACTAATCCACAGCATAGAACTGAAGTGTTCAGGAAACTGACAACTTCTCAGAAATCCATCCACTTTTTCCCCTCAGAGAAGCTATCCCTTAGGTGTTCAGGCTATAATTCACTTCGAGTGCGATTTCATGAGATAAAACTGATGTATACATATTCTCAGCAAAACTTAGATTTTCTTAGATTTTCTATTGGATAGTAGCTAGACGAAGAGCAGTGATCGTAGTGGTGTAAATTACTACACTATGATGGACGTCTGAAGGCGAAGTCGTATTGCTGCTAGCTTGATTGGTTTTGGCAGCAGTAAGGTGTTTCCCTTAGATGACCAGCAGTGTCATGCTGATGCTACCTTCTCAGTGGAAGAGGGGGGGGTTAGAAAAGGTCGGCCCCAACAGTAACACACTCCACCATGCCCCATAGTCTGCCGGACCGGCGCTGTTGGTTCATTTGTCGTTTCTTTTCCACCATCCAGCCCCAAAACAACAAAACTTCAAAACAACCATACACAAAAGGCCTCAAAAGGATGTCCGACAGGCTCCACGGTCACACAAATGTATGTCAGATACTTTAAGAAGAAATAGCCTTCCACGGTATGGACAGTCGGGAAGTGTCAACCACTCTCACGACTCGATCAGGACTCATGTTTACTAAGACTGCTATCCACCTCCTCCTTCCTTGGTCTCCTTAAACCACGCTCCAAATTACATATTGGAGTCTTCTGTGTCCGCACCCTGCGTCAAATTTGTCAGCAGGCTTCGTTGGCAAAGACTCTAGTAACTCGAGCTATGGGTGTGTGCTGTGTTTGTGAGACACGCATACAGAACCCAAGTGCGGTTATTCATCAAACTTCTCCAGGCCAATCTGGTGAATCCGGGAAATTCACCCTTCGGGTTTCTGGAGATTCGATGTCTGACTCTCGCGGTCTTGCAGGTGTAGGAATAGCATTAAGCACTAGGGCAGAAAACTCACTACTAGACTGGATCCCAGTTGATAATAACCACTATGCTATCCGACTGAACGGCACAGCAACCTCTGCTTACGCACCCACTGACTGTAACTCGGATGAAGTGAAGGACGAGTTCTACCGTAAACTGTTTAGCCTCCTCTCGAAAGCCAAAGGTTCGGACGTGGTGGTTGTTGCGGATGACTTCAATGCACAGATGGGTAGACTGAGTGGGGTAGAAAGGTACCTAAGTGGCACTTTATGAGTCGCGGCTGAACGTATAGATAACGGTGATTGCCCACTACAACTGCGCCCAGATAGCCGCCTATTTTTAGCAAACACAAATTTCAGACATAAGAAAAGACACTGTCTGACGTGGAGTTCACCGAGCTCAACCCAGCGATGGACACAGATAGACCAAACTGCTATTATTCATCGGTGGAAGACTGCAGCTCCTTCCGGAGTACGTGTTTGGATAGCGAGCACGAGTTGGTCCGACAGCGTATATGTCTGCGTCTCAATGGATGTAGGAAAAATTTAGCAACAAAGCCACCACGAGTACTGCTGGACAACGAAACCATCAAAGCCGTGTTCAGTAAGAAGTTCACTAGGCAGTTATAGGAACAAAACGCTGTCACTCATCCAGAAGAAGCTTGGGGCTATCTCCAGTCTGTTGTAAACGCAGTACTGAAGACCATAGTCGTCTCGGAAATAGTGACTGAAAAGCGCCAGTGGATATCAGCAGCTTCTTCCGAACTAATGGATGCACGTGAACGCATCCCTGCAGGCTCTGAGTACAATGAAGAGCGAGCGCAACTTAAAAATAGATTGAGAAAAAGTCTGCGCAACAACCGCGAACACTGGTGAGTAGCGAAGGCTAAAGAGATGGAAATGGCAGCGGTGATTGGTAACAGTAGACAGCTATTTAGACTTGCTAAGGAAACTGGGGGAAAAGGTCAACGACAGTAAGTCAGGTTATAGCGGGGAAGGACGTATCTGCGATTCACTAGCAGGAGAGACGACTGGAACGATGGGCAGAACAATTCGAGGAACAGTTTAACTTCCTTCCAGTCACCATTGCGTTACTCGCTATCTAGTATGATCCTGAATGGAACATTAAAATAGGCCTAGTTGGAGCTCGGGAACAGCAAGTCCGATAAAACCAGGCAGGATTCAAACCCGGTCGCTGGTGTATCTACCAAATATTCACAGTGACCCAGGCTCTGGAACACAGGTACGCTTACCGATGCCCAACAATAGCTGTATTTAACGACTTGAAGGCAGCCTTTGACTCCGCTGATAGAGAAGTCTTATGGCAATGTCTCTGACTGAAAGGCGTGCAGAGTAAGTACATCACATCACCTTATCGAAGGCTCTCTACTCGAACACTTGTGGACGTGTTAGAGCCTATGGTGAGATGTCAAGTAAACTGTACTCATCGAGTGGTGTCCGTCGAGGGTGCTCACTGTCTCCATTCTTATTCACTGTTATCATAGATATTCTCAGGGAGTTATCCATCTCGTCACCTGATTACTCAGACGTTGACCTAATCGCGGGAGTATTTTCGGTAGTCCTAGAATATGCAGATGACATAGTCCTGCTAGTTCTTTGAAGACACTAACAAGATGCAGAGTCTTCTTGACACCTTGAGTGACAATTTGAGGATCTCTGGAGTGCGTTTCCCACCACCCGAATGTAAATTGCTGCTCCAGGATTGGTCTTCAGTGGTGACACGGCTAACAATAGAGAGTGAAGTGATTGAGTGTGTTGACCACGTCACTTACCTCGGAAGTAGAATCAGCCCTGGTGGCTCAGTTGCTGATGAAGTCTCTACACGGATACAAAAGGCTCGGTTGGCTTCCCCAGCTTACGCCACCTGTGGCGCCGCCGTCATATCCGATTGTCTACTAAGGGTCGCATGTACTGCACACCAGTCCGCTCTGTTCTACTCTATAGCTGTGAAATATGGCCACTAAAGGTGGAAAACATGAGAAGGCTTCAAGTGTTTGACCACCACCGCCTTCGTAGTATAGACCGTATTCTGTAGTGTCACCATGTGGGTAACGCAGACATCAGGTGTAAAGTTCTAAGGAGAAGAGGTAAATCAGTTGATACGGTTGTGAACCTTCATCGACTGAGATGTTTGGGACAGGTATTGCGTATGCCTAGTTACCGATTGCCTAGTCACACAATGTTGGCCGAAGTAGGTCCAGGCTGGAAAAAGACTGGAGGCGGCCAGACTAAAACATAGCACCAATGTATGAAGTGTTTGACCATTGGTTTAAGCCATGTAGGGCGAACCAGACTGGGTGGCTGGGGTCGGCGGGATTAGAGAAACCGTTGGTTGGAGACTCTATGTGACGTGGCTCAGAACCGATGTCAGTGGCGCAGATATATCTCCACGCACATTATCCTCATCTTAACGACACTTACCGAATCTCACCATTTTCTCACTCTTTCTTTCTCTCTTTTCGTACTATATATTTCTTTTGACTGGATTTTCTTATCTTCATCTTCCACTTCACTGCCTTTTTACTTGATATACTGATATGAGGTGTGGCGGCAACTTGGACCGTTATGCAGTAATTCCTTGTCCTATGTTGATATTGATGATATCAGATAGATTATTCTCGAATGAAGGGAGGTAATTCCATTTTATCTTGCTTATCATGTATACAATACTGACAGTTTAACGTTAGTTTATAGTAACACTTAAATCTACAGATTCGCCAAGAAACGATTAGGTACAGTAAATAAATTAGCCGAACCCACTTGCAATAATCACAAGGTCAAATACGTCGGCCAAGGTGGCTAGTTGAAATCAACTAGACTATCTGGGCGTAAAAGATTGTCTAAATCAAGATTGGTAGACCCTAGTAAGATATTCTAAAGGGAAGCTCGGCAATAGCTATCCATACTGTTACATAACCAGACAATCAGACTAATTTGTGTAGAGAGGAAGACTGATGGTAGAATTATCGAAGTAACATCAAATTTATGCGAAAGAAACGATCTAGCGCTTGTTTGGATGCTTAGAATAGTCTGTTACGACTTTCAGAAAGAAAGACAAACAGAACTAGAAAAATACAAACCATATTTGATAGTTTGGTAGTCATCTTGCCACAGCTATGGACAATAAGAACAAGTATCTATTCTTTCAGTTTGAAGAGAAAGAGACGACAGGATTTCATCACATTTCATGTTTGATTTCGTTTATTAAATGATGTAAAAATAGAATAGAATATAAGAAGACACCTACCTAACAGACGGTCTGTGATATACCTCAGTCGAAATCGATGTCGACCTACACTGGCCAATTCGGCTGACAGACTACATACTAGTGATGTCCTGCCCTGATCATCAGTTTTATGTCGAAATTGTTGACGTTGTCTGCTTCTTACGCCTTCTTGATCATCTGAAATAGAAGCAGGTGCGGAAGATTGTACATTTACTGGTACAGTTGGTAATAGGCTAGGACTGATACGTTGTAGATATGGGTCAATTTGAACACTATCTGGTTTAGTAGAAGATGGAAATTTATCAATGTCAGTTTTGCTTGAAAATGGTGCAATCCAGGCTGACGGCATAACATATTCATCAAACAGTCTGCGGTGACTAAGCTTTTTGGAGATATGGGAGAAATGGTAAGCAAAAACATTCAATTAGTACTAAAGAGATGGAATTATTAACTTAATAGCCAAATTCTAAAGAAAGCGGATCCCCAACGTGTTTGAAATATTTGTAATTTACGCAGATCCTACATAAATACAATCAAAACACCATTTACTACATACGATTAAATCAATTGCAAAAAACTTGAAATGAGGAAGTCAACTTCCATCTGGAGGACAAAACATCCCATGCATACATATATGATTTCTGTAGAAAATCACATGTTCTGGATCTATGATATAAAAGTTACAGAAAGTAACGAGATATATACTACTGAATACAGAAATGAGTAGTTGATGACTACTCATTTCCTTATTATTTTATTATTTTAATGAACTTGAATGGATCAGGCTGGCTATTAACCTGATTACCTCGTTTACAGGTTTATAGAATTTAAAGTTGGTATTTATCATGGAGTGACAATAACTGAAAAATCGTTGAATTAAAGGACAAATAACTCTTAAAACAGTAGTCCCAGTGGAACATAGGGCTTCCGTAGTACGTCTCCATTCCACTCTGTTCTCTTTAATCTTTTGAACCTGGCTCCATGACTGATCAGAAGCTCTCATTTCTTCTTCACACACCATCTCTTCCATATCAACATGGGACAGATATAAAATAACGATGAATATATGGGTGTTGGGGATACGCTGGAAGACGAAAAAGAACCTAGAAGACTTGGATTTCGCCGATGACTTATGCCTAATGTCACATAAACTTGAAGATCTGCAGGCAAAAACTAACAAGTTGATAGAAGAGGCAGCGAAGACGGGACTTCAGGTGAATATAGAGAAGACAGAAGTGATGAAGATACCGCACCACCACCATCAACAACAACAACAAACTCCAATCACCATCAACGGGAGAAACTTAAAGGTGGTAACCTCCTTCACTTATCTAGGAAGCACTGTTTCAACTACAGGTGGACGGACGAGGACGTCAAAGTCAGAATCGGAAAAGCAAGACAGGCGTTCATTAGCCTGAAACCAGTGTGGAGATCTTCTGCACTCAACATGCGGAACAAGATACGGATTTTCAACACCAACGTCAGTCAAGTCAGTGCTCTTGTATGGTTGGGAGACTTGGCGCGTCACGAAAGGCATTTCCAATAAACTACAGACATTCATCAACAACTGCTTACGCTCGCTACTGGAGATCAGATGGATTGCCAGAAAGAATAAGCAACAAGGAGCTCTGGGAACGAACCAACCAAGAACCTATCACGCAACAAATATGCAGGAAGAAGTGGAGATGGATTGGCCATGCACTGAGAAGGCCGACTGAGGACATCAGGCATCAGGCCAGTTGCTCGAGTGGAATCCCCATGGGAAGAGACGAGTTGGACGTCCGAGGGTGACATGGAGGAGATCGTGCGAGGAGGAAATGAGAGGTTGTGGGCTGTCGTGGGACCAGGTTCAAAAGATCTCAGAGAACAGGATGAAATGGAGGCGTGCTACTGAAGCCCTATGTTCCACTAGGAACCCAAGGGACTAATAATAATAATAATAATAATAATAATATGGGTGTTGGTGATAGTTTAACAAAATAATCATGTAAATTCAGTTCGACTCCAAAATCTCTAATATACGAAAGAATTGCAACAAACTATTTAACGACAAGACGTTTCCACTAAGCGGATCACATTCGATTGGTGGATAAGTGATAAAGCTAACCACGCCTTCACTAAATACTCTTCATGTAACCCGACTGATACAGCAGTTAGGTTGTAAAGCTATTCTAATATGAGAGTTGTTAGTGAATTTGTGACTTTGAAATAATAGAGAATATTTGTAGCTCAGGTGGATGGATGATCTTGGTTGTATTGTGTTCTCTGACGAGCTGGATTGTTTAATCGTGGAGCTTCCGTCGTCTTGCTAGACGATATTATTAGCACTAACTTCAGTATGAAGTGGGCTGTCATTATCTCTCCATCAGTGTTTTAGTGGCTTGCCTTGACGAAGTGGTTTATGATTGGTTGTTTCCTTCGATTGCTGTGTCATTGACTGACTGTGTAGATTTTATTGTTGGCTATTCCTCTGCTTGACCTCTCACCTTTCTGTCGTTTATCATTGGGTCTATGTCTATACATCTGTTGATTGCTGACTGACTGACCTGAATACCAAGCTTCCAGCAATTCCCTAATATCCTTTGTGTCTCCTCTCTCCGCCGAAGATTTCTACATTATCGAAATCCAATTCATGTCCATAGTTGTTAACCACACGCATTGAAATGAGAGACGAAATGTCATGTGTGGCGTTTAATAGCCAATTGGTGTTCATGTAGACGAAGATGAAGAGGGCAGCCACTTTATTCAATGTAGTGTTGACTGCAGTTATTCTTGTTGATTTTGTAAATGACATTCTGTTTGTCTTCTTTGATTGTTGCATCTTTTGGTTTGCATAAGTGTTCGGAGGAAATTTGTTGGTAGATGAGTGGCCACACCAATTCCACCAAGTGGTTTCAGCAATCTTGTCGTGATTTGTGATACATCTTCTGTATGTATGAAGGTATGACGCATTTGTTGATTCCTGTCGATAGGCATTTTGTGATAAAGTTCCGTGGGTAGCCGTTCTTCTTTAGGGTGGACATTAAGTAATTTTCTTCGTTTTTTCCTGAAGTTGCTGTGCTGCAGTGTGCTCTTGCTCTTTTGAATAGAGTCTGCACGCAAGTGACTTTGTGTGTGGTTGAGTTGTTGCTACTGTAGTTGAGGATTTGACTAGTCAGTGTGTTGGCTTCCTGTACATTTGGGTTTCCAGCTTTCCGACATTTATCCTACTGACTAGAACATCCAGGAATGGTAGTTAGTTGTTTGACTGTTTCGCCATTGCCAGTTTGATGTCTTTGAAAACGCTGTTGGACAAACTGTGGGTGTGATTCTTAAATAACTAATTAAGTTAGAAATAGTACTCATCATGGACTGATATCAGTTGGGGAACCATTGAAAATCTGGGAGCACTGGACGAAACAGCTGTCCAGTGCTCCCAGATTTTCAATGGTTCCCCAACTGATATCAGTCCATGATGAATACTGTTTCTAAATTAAAAATCCCCATTCATCTCAAAAATACATAACTAATTAAGTGTTTATTCGATACATTAATTCCCTTGAAAAGAATGTTACTCCACAGACAATTTCAAGGTCATCTTATTACTTTAAATAAACAATATACTTGATTGTTTCAAATCAATTTTCAAAGTTCTCTGTAATACGCTTTGCATATCGCTTATGTGATTAGCGGTAATGAAGCTTCAAATGACCCAGTTACATGTGTACAACTGGATGGTATTAACATATATCGTCACCTCAAATAGCGTCTATCCATTTACAGATTGCACGATCCCCTTTGAAATTTTTCACAGCCCGGTATTTTTCAATGTATGGTGTCAAAAGGGTTTCCGTTGGGAACCATTAAGCAAAGATCAAAAGCTGTGAAATGTGCTACACAGAAATATGAGTAGTTAAAAACTATCAGGGATAAACTGAGAACTCTACCAGGAAGATAAGAGCGATGTAAATACAGGATGACTGTTTCACATGTTCCCAAGTGAACCGATCAACAGTGTCATCGAAAAAATTCACCTCATACAGATAGATTATTCAAACTAATGTGATCTGGCTGGTGAACTACATGGTATCAGCTGTATATTTCAAGGATTTATCATCAGTGAAAAATGATTTTTAAAATTATCCACGTCTTGTCTTATCAATCTAGCTTATAACGGAACTTATCCTGCCGCCGAAACTATTCGTAAAGTGAAACTAGTAAACAACTGGTGGTTTCTCACTTAACCATCGGTCAGCAGTTGGCATTTCATGCAACAAAACATACACACAGAATTCTGAATAACTGCTTATCAACCTTAATGAAGGGCGTTTATCATCCGCTGAAAAGGATTCGAATGCAGCGGAATGTAAAGAAGTGATAACTTCCTTTTCTTATGATATTGCTGGTTAAAATTGCCTGCTAGTTCTTTAGATAAACAGAATTGAAGTAGTCCGCAGTTACATGTTATATGCGTTGTGCTTACTCATGGTAATGTGAGAGTTATACCACTCAGCAAAGTATAAGGAATGTGAAATTCGGATACTTGTTTCACTCTTTCAGGATAGATCTTACCATTGGTGACACTGTTTTGGCACTTCAAGTGACCAGTTCACACTTTCAGTTTCATCATTCACTGGAGTGCGAGTAAACTTACTCAGCTGACAACTTCCAGTGACAAAGAAACTCATATTCTGAATTTCACTACTGTCAACTATCCATTTATTATATCATAGTTATTTCGTTTAGCATTAATCCATGATAAACTTAAGCTGTAACTCTATTCTTTGTTCTCAAAAAAATTCGAACAAAAGTGGAGCTCAGAATGAATGACTTTTTGGGGAGGTGATGCAGTTAGAAACCGTTTTTAAAAAGGAGACAGCATGAATCCAGGTGGAAGGCCAGTCGATCGAAAGTGACGCAGATACTTTGGTAATCATTTTTCCCTGGTAATCACTCCTTGTTTTGTCATTTTACTATCTACTAACTAAAGTATTTAATCGATCATTTCCAGGAAACATCGCACCAGCTGCCTGGAAAAAAGGCATCAAGATACTTCCAGTACCTAAGTCAGTGCCTTCAGGAGCGTGTTAGAAATTGAATCCAACTGTAGTTACTTCTTTCTTAAAACTAAGGGGGAAGCTTAAAATACTTCTGTCTGAACCCTCATTGAGGGTTTTTGCAGAACTTATCGAGCTTGCATACAAGGGGGAAAGAAGCCTACTGGATGCCACTATTATCTTATGTCAGAATATTGCTTATAATCTCGATGGAAATGCCAAGTATTTCAGGTGTGTCAGAATTAGACTCTGTCCTAACACCTCCTTTGTTGGGCAAGCTAGACCGGACATAACCTGAGTCCTAAATAATGAACTGACTGTGTTTTCATTTCTATGAAAGGAAACAACAAGCTGTTCACATAAGAAAACACTCCAACTGATTGCTTACTTAGGCTGGCTTTCCCTAAGGTGCTGTTCTTTCACCCAGTCTTTTCTCTTTCTTTCCTATAAGACAATGGTGTCCGTGAACGGTCTTGTGCTTAATTAAGATTGGAGTAAAACTTGGGTACTATGGTAGACTGTCATTCAGTTTTGGTCTATTTATTAGAAAAGTCACACAGTGCAACAGTATCATTCACTGGATAATGCTTAGGAGAGAACCCACTGAGCGTATTCATGATTTGAATATGAGTATAAATATGATGTAGGTATGGACAATCAATTTTGTCCGAAACGTTATTCAGTAAATGATACTGTTTCATTGTGGCATTCTGATAAACAGACTTGTCAGTTTGGTATTCATCGTAGACTGACATCAGTTGGAGAGGCACTGGAAACCTGGGAGCACTGGACAGCTGATTCGTCCTAGTATAGGACTCCTCAACAATGTGCAACCATGACCCTGCCAAGGATTTAACCCAGAACCTTAGGTTCCTGTGACCAGCAAGTTACCATTGAGCTACTGGGTCGGAATCCCATGATCCATTTATCCCACTTCTGTCAGTTCATGACGCAGCACGACTATCACTCAGTATCATCCTTGAGTAATTGTCCTCACGTCCACCAGGTTTGGCCCAAGAGTGATGAATACCAACTTGAAAAATCACTAAATCCATATAAACTCCAAAAGTAGAAAGGCTTGTGCCTAATTCTTCAGATTGTCAGATCATAAACTTTTGTTCCACGTGCAAACACAGCCTAATTAGACTGCTGATGTCTTAGGATTCTAATTTTATTGATGCCTATGAATTAGAGAATGTTGTAAGTTTCATTTATCTCGGGGTGTATTTTCCTTCAAACCCTTCCTGGGCCTGCACTATACCTTACTAATTTCCGAAACGATCTTATTACTATATTATGAACTCACTATATTGTGAACTCGTACATCTTGGATATTCTGCTCGATTTTTCTCCTTTATTCCTTCCTGGGTTATTGAAAGAAGACTTTGTCGTGATGCGTAGAAAGTTAGAGATTATCAGCAGAACTAGTGGTGTACCAACCACGCCTAGGTAACTAGTTCACTGTGGATGTGAAGAAAGTGGAGACGCAGCCTACTGGACACAAGATGAAGTAGAGGAGCAGATGTAAGTTCACACCACTCACTATCCAGTCCAAGAAACCTTCAAAATGAAGTTGAAAGCCTTCACAGAGGTTGGTGATAGGCTCCAGTTCAAGTTCAACACCAGGAATTGAAGGATGAAACTTCAAATGACATCTTCATATCAGCCCTCAGAACGAAACGGGTGACACTGAGCAACATCCCTAAGGAAACCTGTGTGGAAGAACACAAGAATTCTGTGAAAGAGACATGGAGGAAAACCTAAATTACCGTCTTAGGAAGGAGGAAGACAAGGACAAGACAAGGAATGGATCTCAACGGACACATGGAAGCTGATAGGGAAGAGAGAGGAAGATTTTGAAACAGAAGATGAATCAGTGTAGTGCATTGAAGGGATGAACAAGGAAAACAGGAACTGAACACAAACTATAAAACACTACTCTGGACAAAGAAGTGAAGAAGAGTGAGCGCAAAGACAAAAGACATTTCTACAACACATTGGCAAGTGAAGCAGAACAGGCTGCAGGTAGGAGAGACCTGACAATACTATGTCGAATAACCAGGCTATTATCTGGGAAAAGATCAATATAGGTGAAACAAGTGGAAGATAGTGAGGGAAAGCTAGTTAGTTATCAAAGGGAAAAAAAACGGAAACGAAACGATGGATGACCACATCAAAAAGCTTTTAAATCGACCACCACCCGCAAACCGACCTGAAACACCACCAGTAGCCCAGACACAGAACTATCACTGAACACAAGCCCTCTGACAAAAGCAGAAGTGAAGTACTGAACGCCACGCCATAAAGTTGCTGAAATCCGGTAAAGCAGTAGGGCTAGGTGTAATTCCTCCAGATGCACAAAAACAGACGCAGAGACATTAGCAACAGACATGCTCACACTACTATTGCGGAAGGTTTGGAATAAGGGTGACCTCAGTCTTTGCAGGAATTGGCGCCAAATCGAGCTCCACTCCTGTCCACCCTAAGCAAAATATTAAGCCGCATCATCCTAGAGAGACTAAAGCATGCACTGGATTCAAAATTACTACCGGAATAGGCTGGATTCAGGAAGGACAAATCATGTGTGGATCAAATTCCAGCGCTACGCATCATCATAGAACAGAGCATAGAATGTCAATCAACTCTTCACCTCAGTTTCATCGATTTTGAAAAGGCCTCCGACAGCATCGACCGAGAAATAATTTGGCAGCTGCTTCAACACTACGGTTCCACTGCCTTACACCTTTATCAACCTCACTCAACAGCTATATGCTATATGATGCTAATTGATGCCAAGATATTCACAATGGAAAGCTCAGTGACACCTTCGAAGTGAAGACAATAATAAGACAAGACAAGGCTGCCTATTATCGCCGATGATTTTCCTGATTGTCTTCGACTGGATCATGCAAGAAATTGTGAGGAGCGAGAAGATTGGGATACGCTGATTGACAGGCGAAAAGACCCTGGGAGATATGCATTTCGCCAATGATTATTGGTGTCTGATGTCCTGTCGCACAGACTCGAAGGTTCACAGGCAAAAACTAACAAGTTGGTAGAAGAGGCGAGGTAGCGAAGACAGCACTTCTTTCAGGTGAACATAGAGAAGAAGACAAAGCTGATGAGGATACCCAACCAACAACAACAAACACCAATCACCATGAACGGGAGAAATGGAAAGAAAATTGTCTCTTTCACCTACCTACCTAGACAGCTACAAGCGGTGGTGGTGCAGATGAGAATGTCAAAGCCAGGATGGGAAAAGCAAGACAGGCCTTCCTGCATTAATTTGAAATCAGTGTGGAGATCAACTGCACTCAGCACAAAGAACAAGATCCGATACTAAAGATCATATAAGAAGGCTAGAAAAAATAAGCAACAAGGAACCCTGGCTTGACAAAAAACCAAAGAAGCAAGAAGCTGTCGCCCAACAAATAGGCAGAACAAGAAAGTGGAGATCGATTGGATAGGACGTACAATGAGAAGACCATTCGACAATATCACGCGCCAGGCTGTCGGGTGGAACCCAGATGGGAAACGATGAGTTGGGTGATATAGAGGAGATGGTGTGAAGAAGAAATGAAAAATTCTGGGCAGTTGTGGAGCCAGGTTTGGAAGACTAGAGAGGAGGGAGTGAAATGTTGACGTGCTAGTGAAGCCCTTTATTCCACTAGGGAAAGATGATAATAATAATATCTGGAGGGAGTTACTTTTCCAGATGACTAGTATCCTCTTCACTCAAAGCCGTTTCTGTGTGTTGGCTGTCGGGCAAGATCAGGAACAAATACATAATACTTTATGCGCGTACTACTAAATATAAAATCTCTACAATACCATACGTGTTTAGCTCGTCTACTCTGTGAGGAAGAGTGTCAGAAATGAAGTAACTGGTCATCGCCCTTTTTTCAAAGCAAAACTAATTAATGAGTACATAGCATGTTACTATTCATGTATTATAAATCTGATTGATAATGCGATTATTTACCCAAGTTAACTCTGAAGTTTGAAGAAGGTTGTAGATAGAGTAAACATTCTAATCTTTATGTGTAAATAATTCTTATTTACTTCATTTTGTTATGTATACATATACACCGTTTCTGTCCAATTGATGGTATATGACATACTAAAAATTCTATAGAGTATTCCCGAAAAACCTTTCAGAATAAAGCCGTTGTAATGATGATAATCAATCCTCGAAATACACAACTGATGTGCAGACTTCACTAACCAGATCATGCTTACCTGAACAATTTGTCTGTGTCAAGTTGGTATTCATCATGGACTGACATCAGTTGGATGAACAATGGAAATCTGAGAGCATTGGACAGCTGGTTCGTGCCAATATAAGACTCTTCAGCAATGTGCACCCACTATCCTGTCAGGGATCGAACCCGCGACCTTCAGGTTCGTGGCTATCACGTTATTTTTGAGCTACTGATTTGGAATTCCAATGGTCCATATTTCTTAAATTTGTCAGTTCACGAGATAGTGCGACCGGTACCCGGTACCACCAGGTTTGTCCCACTGTTCATGACTTCTCACTGGAACTTCAGGAGTCCTCTCTCAAAGCTAGTCACCAGTGAGCACTAGATCAACTGAATTCGGGGGGTTTGTGGGGAATTAGAGATGTTTCAAGTTGTTATTCATCATGGTCTGACATCAGCTGAAGTTCCAATCAAAAGTTGTAACCAGTTAGACAAACCTGGTAGCCGTGGGGACAAAGACTCAACAATGATATTGGGTGCCAGTCGCACTATCTCATGAACTGACAGAATTAGGGAGTATGGACCATTTGAATTCCAACTCAGTAGCTCAATGGTAACATGATGGCCACGGAACCTGAAGATTACGGGTTCGACCCCTGACAGGATAGTGGGTGCACATTGCTGAAGAGTCTTATACTGGCACGAACTAGCTGTCCAATGCTCCCAGATTTCCAATGTTCATCCAACTGATGTCAGTCCATGATGAATACCAACTTGAAAAATCTCTAAACCCACACAAACTTCCAAATTCAATTGTCTATGTCAGTCAAAGTTCTAAGTTGACACCGCAGATAGGTGAATTATCATTGTCTTTAATAACAAAATAATAAATAAATGAGATTATAACAATTTTGAAAAAAAGTGTAATCACTTACAACATATGACAACTGTTCCGGACGTAGAGGAGAAGAAATCTAGAAGAAAAAATTTTGAAAAGTAAGTCGTTTTCTCATGAAATCAAAGTATTTCAAAAGGCATATTGAAATCCTCAAATTAATGAGAAAAGAAAAATATTTATAGCATACTTCATTGTACTTTATTCCTTTTTCCTTAATGACTAAAAGGTTTGTATGATGTAATAAGAAGAGGGAGGTTATCTGAGAAGTGTATGATGTACATGTACATGTACACTTCGACCAATCCGATCATATATCATTACTACTCAAGCCAAGGATGAAAATAGTATAGGGTTAGATATATAAATCAAGATAATCCAAGATTTGGAAGGTATGGGGAGATATAATGAGGAGGAGTAATACATTTTCACACCACCCTTGCCATTAAAATGAGATAAGAATTACTAAGTTAGGTTTAAGGTTAGGACAAACTGTATAGCTAAAGATGTCTTGACGTCTCCTATACAATGGTGTAAAGGCTGTTTCAGGGTCAATCCTATGACCTGTTTCTATAGTGTGTTTACCTATCCAGGATGACATCAGTCTGCTCCTGTATTTATCGGATCTAATCATTTAGGGATAGGCTCCACCACTTTCTATTTAATAGTTCGATTACTACTCCCAATATCACCGCAAACGTATGTAAATTGGCATACACAGTAGCACATGACGTAATCACCAGTGCAGTGATGAGATTTAATATAGGAGTAAGACATGGGAACTGGTAGATTATAGTTCCATTTTAGTCCATTTATCGGAAATATCATACAGTGAAGGAACAGTGCCATTTACTGGATAACGTAATTTTCGGACATAATTTATTGTCCATATTCATATCAGGTAAACAACTCCACAACTTAGAGACAGAGTTTATATAGTCCAAATTTTCACTCCTTCTTTAGGATGACAAGGGTAGTGGAATTTTCCATATCTCTTTGACAGGTGCAGAATCATTTCGATTACTGTATGTATTCGGTGTTGATTCAGTCGGTTATCAGTCTCTCCCTCCATCCACTCAACTTAGTTTTCAACACTGTTGCTCTGTCCTATTCTACTGTGTGATTCTGTGTAATTGTGTGCAGAGTGAATGTAATCCAATTTACTTGTGACTCAGAAAGTGATGAAGGTGAACTAGCAATCTTGGATTGCAAGATTAAACGAACACGAGATGGAAGTTTAGAGACTAGTGTCTATAGGAATCCTTCCCATTCGAATCGCTACTTAGACTTCAAATCCTCCCACCCCATTTCAGTTAAAATTGGCCTGGTTAAATGGCTAAGTGATAGGGTGAAAAAGCTTACTAGTAGACCGAAAAATCTGTGACGAGAAATTAAACACTTCAAGCATACCCTGTGTCTCAATAACTATCCACCTAAATTTATAAATAAGTTCATAAAAAAACCGGAAGAAAAATATTACTAGTGGTAGTAGTAGAAGCAGTAGTAGTGATACAGGTGTTATTAATAATAATTCTACTACTAATGGTAATAATGGTGACAGTTGAGAGAGAATTCAATGCCTCTACTGTATTGCCATACAAGGAAGGTACCTCAGAAGCATTACGAAGAATTCTCTATAAGGCTGTCTTAGATTAAAGTGGTATTTAAATCAACAAACTCACTTAGAAACAAGCTTTGTAGGTTAAAAGATCCTATCGATGCAATTAAACAAAATAATCTGGTTCATCAAATCCCTTGCAATGATTGTGAGGACAAATATATAGGTGAATCAAAGTAGTCGACTAGCCAGGGTCGATTAGAATAACAGAACACGAAAACATAGCTAAATCAAGATTAGTAGATCCTAATAAGATAAAAAATTTAGAGAAAATCTCGGTTATAGCTGTGCACGCAATTACACAGAATCACACAGTGGAATAGGATTGAGCTACAGTGTTGAAAACTAACAACTTAGTTGGGTGGAGTGACGGAGAGATTGATAACCGACTGAATCTTTGTTTATCGAATCAACACCAAATACATACAGTAATAGAAATGATTCTGCACCTGTTCCAGATATATAGAAAATTCCACTACCCTTGTCATCCTAAAGAAGGAGTGAAAATTTGGACTATATAAACTCTGTCTCGAAGTTGTGGATTTGTTTAACTGATATGAATATGGACAATAAATTGTATCCGAAATGTTATCCAGTAAACGATACTGTTTCAGTGTGATGTTTCTAATAAACAGACTAAAAGGTGATGAGGTTTATTTTGAAGCATAGGTTTCGTTTTCTCGATAATACTGAACTTGGCTGTATAGTATGTCTTTTTAATGACTAAATTAAGTCTTCGTCTTAATTTCATATTAGATTTGTTTATTTGATTTATAATACACAGTGGTGATACAGTACTATTTACTTGATGACGACGTTTCAAGCATAAATTATCATTCCTCATAACCATATCAATGTGTAATCACACACTACTCCCGACATTTGATTTTTATAGTTATATCACCTTATGTGAGTTGCTTTTATTGGTAGCAAAATTTTCCATAACTCTGGTATATCTGGGTGTTGCATCATTTCTATTACATGTGTTGGCTGGGTGTTGATTCGATGAAGAAGGATTCAGTAATCAATCCCTTTCTCTACCTAATTCCTTTGTTGGACTTAAGTACAGTGGCTTTGTCCCACCCTATTGTGTGATTGTGTATTATTGTATGCATAGCTACAGCCGAGGTTTTTTCAGGTTATTGATCTTATTTGGGTCTGTCATTCTATATTCAGCTGAATTTCTGTGTTCGACTATTCTGACTGACCCCGACCGACTAGTTTGACCTATATTCTTGACCTCATAGTCATTACATGGAATTTGATAGATTAGATTATTTTGCTGAATTGGTCCCGTCGGATCCTTCAACTCGCCGATAAAATTTATCTCTGAGTGAGTTTGTAGGTTTAAATGTCACCCTAATTCCAGCTCTGTTGACGATCCTACATAGAGCTTCTGATGTGCCTTCCTTGTACGGAAACACAATGGAGGCTGTGAACTCCTTTCTACTTGTATTGTCGTTATTATTCGCACTCTTGTGACTGTTATTTTTTCGTTTTTTATGTGTCCGTAAGAATTTCTTAATAAACCAACAAATTCCCTCCGAACACTGATGCAAACCAAAGGATGCAACAACTAAAGACAAACCGAATATCATCTACAAAATCAACTGGAATAACTACAGTCAACACTACATTGGATAAAGTGGTCGCCCTCTTCATCTTCGTCTACATGAACACCAATTGGCTATTAAACGCCACACATGACATTTCGTCACTCATTTCAATGCGTGTGGATAACAACTATGGACATGAACTCAATTTCGACAATGTGGAAATTTTGGACTGAGGAAACACAAAGAATGTCATCAGAGAATTTCTAGAAGCTTGACATTCAGGTCAGTCAGTCAGTCAGCAATCAACAGATGTTTAGACATAGACCCAGTGGTAAACGACGGAAAGGTCAGAGGTGAAGCAGAGGAACAGCCAACAGGAAAGTCTATACAGTCAGTCAATGACACAACAATCTAAGGAAACGACCAATCACAGACCACATCGTCAGAGCAAGCTACTAAATCACTGACGGAGAGATAATGACAGCTCACTACTTCATACTGAAGTTAGTGCTGACGATGTCACTGTCTAGAAAGACGATGAAAACTTCACGAGTAAACAACTTAGCTCAGATAACACACTACAACGAAGACCATCCACCTGAGCTACAAGTATTCTGTATTATTTCAGATTGATTACCGAATCCTTCTTCATCGAATCAACACCCAGCCAACACATGTAATAGAAATGATGCAACACCCAGATATACCAGAGTTATGGAAAATTTTGCTACCAATAAAAGCAACTCACATAAGGTGATATAACTATAAAAATCAAATGTCGGGAGTAGTGTGTGATTACACATTGATGTGATTATGAGGAATGATAATTTATGCTTGAAACGTCGTCATCAAGTAAATAATACTGTATCACCACTGTGTATTATAAATCAAATAAACAAATCTAATATGGAATTAAATTCTACTACAGTGCCCAATTTTTTTACACCTAAATTAATCTTCGTCTTCAGATTATACCTCTTGGTCCTCGCTTATATGGTAGCGTGAAGTAATTGTGATGTAACTGTCAATCACTCAGACTGACGAATATGAGCATACCTTAGAGTTAAAAATTCATACTGTATCGTATGGCTTGAAGTGTAAGGGTTAAATAAATAACTAACGTTTGTGTGGATATATATGAAGTTGGAATTCATTAGAAATTTATATTATTTGTAGAAGGGCTGAAATCTCGGGAGTCTAGAACCGTCGAACTTGACGGTGACCATCATATTCTGTTTCTATTAATTAGCCATCAAGCATGACCATTACACAATACCATCGGTCAGTATTTCATCTTCACACCCGACTTCGTCGACATCGCAGATCATAGCTTCTCATTAGACCTTTCAGAAATTTATCATGAAGTCTGAAAAGAATTTGCACTGGCGGAGTCATGGGTACACATTTTTGAGAAGTCCTATACTAAGCTGGAATAGCTCTTCAGTACTCACAGGTCTGTAGTGATTTTCCAAATGATATCAGTCTATGAACTAACTAATCTCCATAATCCTAAAAAATGAACTTTATGATTATAGTAATTGTTGGTAACACAAGTTAGTGAGAACATAATCGTTAGCGAAATGTGAAGTGAGTGAGAGACACATCTGATAAAAAAATAAAGATCGGAGAGAGATGAAGTTGGGAAGTGGACTCAATAAGAAGGTTTTAGAATAATTTCTCCGTCTTTCTGAATATACAGATTAGATTTGAGGCTTTAAATAAGATAGATTCTCTGAGGCGAAGTAAGGTCAAATTATAATGTTTAGTGACAATTTTGAAGGTATTTTGATATCAACGTTGTGTCCTGTGTCAAGGAACTGAAGAACAATATAGCTATTGATGCCTTTCAGTTTCCTAAGTCGTATCTGCCCATCTATCTGGCCTTCCAATCTACTTACTTTCACA